AGAATGTGCAACAGAGAAAGAGAGTCTTTCCCGCCCGAGAGGCAAACTAGAATGCGATCACCATCCTAAAACTCTTCTCAGATGCAAAGATGGAAAAATGAAACTAAAAATGTTCTTTAGTTCTACAAAAGCATTAACTTGGCTATGATATTGACCTTAAAAGTAGCATTACCTGGATCATATTGCAAGACTGTATGGCATAAACTGCTTTTTTGTAAAGATTCGTGGGCGGACGAACCCAAGGCTCACTTTGAATCTCTTCTTTGCTTGAATTTTCACGCCGTTTTACGATAGTACACTTATTCCAGTCTTCACTACTCCAATCCTTTTCTGGAAATTCAGCACAAGTATAGCATATCCCAGCTCCGCAAAACGAGATATCGTCATTGCTAAGCTTATTTCCCTCCGCATCACCATATTTTTCAGACTCATTGCGGGCTAGTTTCTCTTTCTAAATAATGCAAATTAAAGTGAAAAATTCTTTTTCTTTCACAGCGGCCAAGCTCTCAATACAATACGTGAATCCATGTTAGCGTGAAAATAATTAGATCAAAGACGAATCATTTGACTTGCTTCAATAAGTAATAAACTGTAAACAATTAAATGATTTTAAAAAAATAAAGCTAAATTAGTGATCTCTTATACCAATCGCATTCAAAACAGCCGTATGAAATGAATGAAGCCAGTACCTCTTCTCTACCTAATCCATGTCCCTCAATATGTTGATTTTTGGAATTGAACATGAGCATTTTAGGAGAGCACGACGGATAATTTCTTTTCAACCCGTCAGACCACTCATACTTTTTTGGCTCAAATGGAACTTTTGAATACTGCACTTTGATACCAGTCCTTTCTTCACTGACCTCACTAGTCATCAAAAACCAGCGTAGGTTTCTTGTTTCGTCATCCAAAACATTACGGCCATCAGCAACCTTGTAAATAAAAATGAAGAGAAATTTGTTATCCACTATAAAAAGGTTGATCTACTGTGCCGAAAGTTTAAGGGGAGCTGCCATACTTCAGTTTTTGCATTCTCAGCCTCGCAAGCTAGTTGCTCCGCTGATACTTTCAAATCCTTTATATTGGACGATACTCCTTCAGTTATACACCCTCCAAATTTCTTCATTTTCAGACCGTCAGAAGAAAATTTAACAAATCCAAGCCATTTGCGAGAGCGAAAAACTCGCTGACGAATATGATGCCATTCAGCGGTCTCACAGTTCAGGTGATACTAAACCTATGTAATTACTGCAACAAAGCAGAAAAAATGAAAAATCTTAAATTGCACATGAGTCAACCGTGTAATTATTTGCAATTGCTAAGAAGCCGAAAAAAGCCAAAAAGTTACTCGAACAGAATAGAAAGCTGACAAATAATTAAAAAATTTTTTTTGCAACCTGAATCATGAATCGTTTCGCATTTTCCGCTACAAACCCAATCGCTTCCAATACAAAATTGACCTCAAAAAAAAAAGGGTAACGAAATTGTTGAGGACAAAAATAATGACCTGCATTGAAAGAATGACGTACATAAGAAATTATAGTGAGCGAAAGTTGTCTAAAAGAAGCTATAAATAGAACTATCTATATTTTTTCAATTTACCATTGATGCAGAGGCAAAAAAAGGAATGGAGATGCGCGTAAAACCTGGTCGAAGCATTTCCTTATCCGAGTACTCTATTTGCCTGCGCAAATGATCTCTGTCTAATCTTACGTCCTCCATTAAACAGGCATGATATTTCAATGCTAGCTGAAATTCATCAAAGTTTCAAAGAAGAAGAAAGCTGAGTAGTAAGTTTACAATTCCTTATAAAAAAAAAACGAAATATCTGTTGAAATCAAAAGCCGCAAGAACAGAAAAGATTAATAAACTTTATGTTTCACAAAGTTCTGTAATAATATCGGCAACTTCTTCTTTAATTCCTAGCAAATGATGAGCATATGGTCCTGCGCAAGCACAACCAGAACGGGACTGAATGCCAAATAAATCATTCAGTAAGGCAGAAATGTAATTGTGATGATAAAAGAGTCCTGATTTTGGGTCTCGAATTAAAAAGCTGAAGACTGCCAGTCGTGAAGTCACCCTCGGTGACCCCAAAAGAATCACATTTTCATAACGTGAAAAGAATTCAATTACAAGCCTGAAACTATCTTTAAACAGTATACTTGAATGTATAATAAGATCGGTTTATGCATCAAAAAATTCGTTTACTATGCTGAAAATGAAAACTCGCCTTGAGATTTCTTCCTCAAGACTAATAATCATTTCATGACCTACGGCTGCCTTTAGTTTGAATGCTAGGGCTAAACGAACAGCTCCAACAGCATCCGGAGTCCCTCCTTCTTCTCTATATTCAACATTCTTTAAATATGAACGAGATGTCGCACTCACCTTAAACTTGTCCGAACTAACCTCTCTAAACTCAATACATAAGAGCTACTACAAATGTTACCTAAAACTTACAAATGAAACAGTCCCACCACCAATCCGCTTCGGGTGTTTACTCTTGACGAGATATTTTTTAACGACCAAGACTCCTGCATGGTAAATGTTAAATATTGATTCACAGCGAAAGAAAACAAAGATTTTCAAGACTAATTTTATTAAATTTTTCAGTATTGCAAATAAAGATCAATAATAAAAAAATCCTCTGACCTGGTGTTTGAACTCCGCCAACAAATTTATGCCCAGAAAAAAAGACCGCGCCCTTTGGAGTTTTGCTGTTGACGTTTATATCAACATAAGGTGCAGCCGAGGCATAATCCCAGATTGTTATACATCCCCATCTTGAACTTTTTCTTTATAAGGGAAAAAAGGAATTTTTTTTCAGTAACGAAAGAATACGAGTGAAACAAATCCATAGTAAACGCAATAACTTACTTAATAAGAATAGCATTAACCTCTTCGACATTCATGATGATTCCAGTTATATTAGATGCAGCAGTAAAGCATCCTAATATAGTCATATTTTGACCGTACTTTTCTCTGATTAGGGTTAAAACACTGCACAATTCTACCACGTCAATATCACCAGCCTCTGTTTCCCTAACAGCAAAAGATTCTTGAGAAATTTCCGTCCAGGGAAGTAAATTAGAATGGTGCTCCTGAATGCCATGTACAACGACAACTGCAGAAAGATCAAGTAAATGTACAAGAAGCTCAACTGCAGCAGTCGCACCACTTCCAACAAACAAAACAGCGTCTTGGTCACCAGCACCAACATAGTTTCGTATAACATCACTAAAATTTGTTAATCCAATTCTTTAAATTTAATTAATGCTCTGTGAAACCGCAACATTAAATGCAAATCACTAGTCATAAAATTAAACCTCAAAGGAGCAATACATACAATTGGGACAGTGTGTTATCAAGAAAAGACTTGCCGAGCTTCGCTTAAAAATAATGTAGTTTGTTCCGAAGTAACTGTAATGGAAGAGTGCGTATTACCATACAGCGGCAAAACTTCCGCTTTAATATAGTTCTCAATATCCAAGATCGATCTTCCAGAACCTGTATAGTCACAGTAGCAAACTGAAAGAGCTTTTTAAGTTAAAAAGATGGTCATGATAAATGCTCTTAAAACGATATAAAAACTTTCACTGTTGTGAACACCAAATGAGACTGATTTCCTCACTATTATTAATCACCTTTCCTCAATCCAAATGGAGTCTCAATAACAGCATCACTGCCAATTTCATTATTTCGAATCCAGTCTAATATATTAGTGTCGGTCTGAGTGTCTGATTCTGTTCTGTGAATGTCTGAAAATTTGGGGACTTTTTCTCCAAAGCTTCTGTCAACCATTTTGCCAATTAGTCCTGAAATAGCTAAATAATAAATCAAAAATTATTTCGCTAAATGTTCTCGGCGCTCCTCTTCATTTATGGTCCGTACTCTGCAAGATAGTACAGAACCCAACAAAAATTCTTCTAGTTCCTCCACGCTAATGAATAAACACGCCTAGAGATATCTCGTGAATGCTGAATAACACTCAGGCTCAGTGGGGTACCAAGTCAGGGATCTTATTCCATCTGTATTTGCCTGGCTAAAGATCGAAATCACTCGTTGAAGCATAACTGCTTTGTCATTTCAGCGTAAACTGTGTGCAACAAAACATCCTAATTACAAGATGCAATCACCAGGAAGAATC